AGAGAACAGAAGCCTGTCAAGGTGGTTTTACAAATGGCCTATTCTTTATCCTTCCGTGCTTCTCACAGTTACTTCAACTTAGTAGCAGTTATCTCTTACAATTCAGGTTGTGTTTATAATAACATAACAAAAATCACCAAACAAAAAGGAATGTTTCGTACAGTACCATAAGCATTTTCTTGCTAGTGTGGTTCAGGAGGGTTTTCCACTTCCTTCTCAGCTCTGGGAAGCCTTTACATTTGGTTGGTTGCAGTTTCAGGGAAAAAAGCATTTTCTACATTTCCAAACTGCAAAGAATACATTTTGATGTGCCTCACAGCACATAATTTAGGGGCCATTATATGTTATATGGAAAACAAAACCACGCTGGACAATCAAAACTACCCTTTTCAAATAAAGGAGGTCTCCTGTACTCTTTTCTTACCATTGAGGACACAATGGGACATTAGAAACTTGCCACAAGATTTCTTAAAGGTCCACTAATGAGTTTTGAGCATTTTTATTTTGTGCAAACCACATTCCACTTCTGATTCTCCAACATCTAAGGTGTTGGTGTTTTCATAGTCTATGCCTATTTACCTGCTGCTATTCCCTCAGAATAGGAGCAATAATTCAACATGAAATACAGCATGTATTACTCTTGAAAAGAGGAATTTTCTATCCTTTCCTCCGTAATTGAGGTCATTCAACCACTAGGGTTCACCTGGAGTCCATACCATGATACACGCGTCACTCTGAGCCATTTTATCTTTTGTGCTGATAGTCAAGATCGCAGCTCTAACATTGACATCAAACTCTGTCTGGGCAGATGACTAAGAGTGCTGCACAATGTAAACTTTTGACCCTCAACTTTCTGACCCGCAGTTGTAACGCACTAACCACAAAGATACACAAAGCTGAGCCTCTTCTTTCAGAGGGAAGGGGCCCCCCTAAGATCTCAAGATGCCCTGCTTCTGCCACTGCCTTTTGGAATTAAAGGGCAGATTGGATATTTTTGTATGTTTTGTGACTCTGTTTCCTGTCCTTCTTTTAGTCAGCACTTAGGTAGGAACTAGATTAACTTGAAATCATTCATGATTTCCTTAACCAGGAAGATTTGGAGTAGAACTGGAGAATCTTGCAAAAAGTGAGAGAGAAGAGAAGATGGAGGGAAAGCCTGCAGTAGAGATGGAGACATTTTTTTTTCTTTATTTAAAAATAAAGACACAGCCCTAATTGTTGGGAGAGCTGGCCCAGGCTGGCGAGTTGACTGTGAACTTGTACTAAAGCGTGCTCTGCTGGCGATTCCTAGGGTGTGCAGATTTATCTTCTCTGCATTTACTTAACCCGGCAGTGAACTGCGCGGGTGTCATTTGTTAGGCGATGACAGACTTCACCTCCAGCAAGGGCTGCTTCACAAAATCGCAATAATTACCTAATAAGCTTCATAACAAATATTATTATTGAAAAGACTAGTTTATGGGGAAGGGATCTGGTGGGAGGAGGGCAAATTTCTTTGTGAAAAAAAAACACCAAACAAAACAAACCTGGGGTGATCTTTCTTCCAGTTCTGGAGCTTAGAATGATGGGACTGTGGATCTGCTCTTCTGTGTGGGTGGGAGCCTCGGTTGACCCCCTTCAGCCTTGCCTGGGAACCTCATTTATAGTTTTGTCATTGTCTAGAAGGAAATTCCCCCCTTAAAAGCCAAAGAGATGGAGCCCACACTCCTCTGCCCTCTCCATGGTGGACAAGTCACGGATAGACCCCCAGTCAAGGCAGGGAAGATGCTAAGGGAATCTTCGAGCTAAAAGGGTTGTTTTCCTCTTTAATAGACCATCTTTTTGGAGGTGATTGTTTGGATATAATACTCACTGAATCACAACAAATGAACATGACTGTTTCTCGTAGAAGATTGTGTCTAGCTCCCACAGAACCTCCTACAATGAAGCAGGAGAAAACGGGAAAGCCCAGGCAAAAAGAATCATGGTATAATGTTGTGAAATTAGACCACAGAAACTCTATCAAACCCCTAAGTACGTGTGACCAGAAGCTTTCTATCAGATTTATAGTTCAGGAAATATTGTCTCTACAGCTTGTGGAAATAAACGAGTCCTTGCACATTTCCGCTGCCTTTTACAAGACTAGAAAGAGCACAGACACACACTTCTGCCACCGGCTGAGACTAGATGTCTCCATAAAGCCCTCAGTGGCAGAGGGGTTTTTCCACCCCCAAGTAAGTTCCTCTGCAAAAATGACCCAAAAATGCACAAGAAGAAGTAATGAGCAGATAACCAGCCACCTTCTTTAGTATGCTTCCTATGAAAATAGAAAGAGAGAAAAAAAAATCCCTCCACTAAGATTCATGTAAGATGCTGTATTTCTTAAAAGTCATTGGACGGCCATGTGGGTTAACCTGCTCTCTAAAATTCTGCTTAGGCTGTCTGAAGATTAAAATAGAAACAAATGAGCTGGCAACACTCATAACCTATAATTTTTTGGATTTGTGGGAAGGACTATTTTATATGATGCTGGATATGACTCCAGCAGCCTTTCTGTCCATTCCACACCCTGGTGGGGTGTGGCCACTGAGGTGGCATGGATGCTTTCTCTATGCAAGGTACTCAGAGGAACCTGCCAGCATCCCTATGACTCTTGTCCCTGCTTCTAATTTCACTCACCAAGAAATCATTCAAGCAAGATCACCAAATGAGTAACTAAAATAGAACCACAATCCAATATTCTCCAGTGAAGAACACCAAAGTCAGAGCAGCCAAACAAAGAATCCAGAAATCCTCACAGACACAATAATAAGAAAACCCACTTCCATACCGAATTGCAATTCTAGTTCCCATTTAGCTATGGTCACATCTTTCTAAGATACCTGTGGAAACACCAATATTCACTTTACACAAAATGACTTCAGGAATTCGTGAGAAGTAGGAGTTGTGGGAGGGCTTTGATTTTTCAAAAAACTTCCCAGGTTTTGCTTCTTGTATCTCTGACTTTGGGGACATCTGTTGGACTTAATGCTGAGTGTAGGTGATCTCTGCACAATAAAGTTTGTTGAAATTCCAAATCTATACTTTAACTTTTCTCTCTTTAAGCACTTGATACATATGTGTACAAATTAGCACTTGTAGAAAACTATCCAGCTCCTAAGAGTAAAGCAGATCCCGGGTTTTTTTTTTTGTTTCAATTTCTCAATGCAGTGGGAGAATTTGGCTTAACTCCCCAGACAGGATAGGGGGAAATGTGCCTGGTCCCTTGTGGGTGCTCACCCTGAAAAAGACTCCAGGACAGGCCATAATGTCCTCAGTCACTTGGCTTGGTTTACCATTGAAGAATGTAGGGGGCTGGGACCAGAAAGGGTGGCTGGGGCTAAGATGGAATTGTACCCAGAAAAATTTATTTTACCTTGCTTTACCCATTGGTACAATTTTGGAGACTGTTTTGGAAATCATAGATTATGTAAATTTCCTGGGATCAAACAAAAAGAGCAACTAACAAAAGACAGACGGAAATCTCCTACTGACAAACTACCCATTTCGTTCCTAAACTACTGTTTATGATGTGTCAGGAAAAACAACCTAATGGCTCTGGGAACTTTTAAGTTGGGCATTGAAGACACCTCGATTTCCCCTTAAACTTTAGGGCACAGTTTGGAAGAGAGAATTTGTCTATTGAGGAGGGAGTAAATTTCTCTAATCTTTAGTGTTATCTAGGGGGAGCCTAAGTTATCTTTTGAGGGTCCTGCGCAGAGAGATGTTTGGATTCTACAAAGGACAGGAAAAGGAAGAGGGAGGCAGGAAGAGAGAGAGAGAGAGAGAGAAGAGAGAGAGAGCAAGAGAAGAAAGGGAAGGCGGAAGAAAAGAAAGTGCTTTAACCCCTTTCAATTATCCTGAGGATTCAAAGACTAACGTTAAATCCGGCCATAAAGTTTATTGCTTCAGACTAACAGGCGGGTGAGAACAGTCCCAGCGAAATAAAAAGAACGTGCAGGCAAACAAGGTTCAGGGCCTGGTCCCGGGTGCGCGGGAGGAGGTGCAGAGCCGCCCCCCGCCCCGCCCAGGTGGGCACCCGCGGTCCCCTGCGTCCCCATCGTCCAGTGGGCGCTGGCAGCTGGGCTCGGCCTCGCAACCCAGGAGCCCAGCCTGGAGGTGCAGCCAGCGCCTCGCCGGCCTCTGCCACCCTTCGAAAGCCAGCCTGAAACCCGGCCCCGAAGGCCGCCGCCTCAATTCAGCCCTGCCAAATGACCCTGGCCCGCGAAGACATACTGCCACAGCCCCATAAGGAATCCCGCCAGAGTCCGCCTCGGCCCTGTCCCCGCCTTTCTTTCAAACTCCGAGCGCAGCCCAAGCCCACCGCCGGCGCCCCACAGTCTCCCGGCCCCTCAACCCCAGGACTGCGCGACCCCAAAACAGCTGGGACCTAGCCAGGCCTTGGGATTGGGGTGGGAGCGCTAAGTTTCCACACACAGGCCCATTCTCACATAAAAATCATCTTTTTGCACGCGGCCAGGGGCAGCGGAAGTCATTACCATCCGCGGTGGCGCAGCAATTAAAGTTAGGCCTGGGGACGCAGCGGCCACAGGAGCTGCTCACCGCACTGCCTCCGCAAAGCTGGCCCCTGGCGCTGCTGATCTGGGCAGAGGAAAACTTTGCTCCCCCTTTTTCAACACCAAGGCAGCCTCAGAGTTATTGCACCAGAGAGGGAGAGAGGAAAGAGAGAGAGAGACAGCCAGAGAGAGCAAGCAAGAAAGTTTTCAGGGTACAAAATACACTTGAAAGCACTCAGGAGGCGAGCTTACCTTAACTCGGAGGGAGCCATTTTTCAGAGAGTTTTGAGAACTTGTGGTTTGGACACTTCAGGACCTAAAATTGACAATTTGAATGACCAGGCGGCACACGTAGCCTGCAAAAGAGTCAAATGGAGTCCAGCGTCAGTGAGATTATATGTTATGTGGTATATAATGTTGGATGTCAACTCCCCAAAACCATAAAACTTACTTTAATGGCCCCACGTGACGTTTTATAGCCAGTGAGCCGATCTGTCTGTGCTATGGATGATTTTACGATCTAATTCATAGACAAAACCCTATTCATTTGGCACCCAAATGTCATATAGCCGGAACTGGGGCTTATAAAGTTTACTGTTTTATAACTTTTAAAAGGAAAGCCGGCATCAGTGTAAGCAGTCGGTTAATGTGCAAATCTCTAGTTGTGCTTTAGCGGCTGTGAGGAGTTTCCCAATCCAGCTAGGATGGGGTAAGTACCTTCCATTTGTAGCAAATTAATTGTAGCAAAAGAAGCCAACTGGGCTCAGGGTGAGGAGTGGGGAAGGGGCGCTGGGGTGGGTTGGGGCAGAGGGCTGGGGGTCCACAACCTGGCAGAGCAGCTTTCTTCAGCAAGTGGAGGCCTAGGACAGCCTCTCTCTGAGGAAAGAGGCAGAATCTGTGTGGGCCCCCAGGGCTGCTAACAAAGCCCTGCGCTTTCTCTCTTTCTTTCTCTTCCTCCCTTTTTTTGTACCCAGCAAGTTAACTTGGTTCCCTCAGAGGTGGGCAGGGTGGGCTTCAGGCTTTGGAACCACCTATGGCCTACAGCTTTTTCAACCTTCTGTCCTGAACTTTCTGGTGGGGCAGAGTTAGGGAGGCCGCGGGTCAGAATGTTGGTCTGAGGCCTCCATACACAGACAGGCTGCTCAGGTTGGCTCAGACTCACCAGCTTCCAGGACTGGAAGGACAGACAGAAAACCAGAAAGCCACTTGCTATTTGGTACAAACCAGACCAAGAGAACTTACAATAGAAAGTTTATTTTTTGTTTCCAGTCAGTATTTTTTCCTTAAAAACAAATACCCCCCCAAAAAAAATAGCTGATCACAGTTTGCTTAAACAGCCAGACTTGGACAATATTTGTAACTTTGTTCACAAAAACATACATCACTGAAGCTGCGCTTATAAGAGCCACTTCCAGAGTTCGTGCAAAGGGTCCTACAAAGGCACGCAGGGACACACCGCTTGGAGTCACAGTTTTCGTCACAGAGTCACTAGTCACTACACGTCGAACAAGTTAAGTTGTGTCTCATCAAGTCACCTCTACGACAGCATTAATTAATTACACAAGGAATATAGGTAGTTTGAATAAAAATATCTTTAACAGCTTGGAGCTATTGAGACAGAAACACTTCCACGCACATGCACAGTTAAACAACTCGAGTGCAACACACAACATTGGCACTAAACGAGGTTGAAAGGGGACTTTTTTGTGTGTTTTTTTCTCTTTTCTTTTTTTGTTATAGTTACTTCAAGTAACACAGCTTGCTTCATATAAATAAGTTAAAACATCTATTTTTTTTTCAAGACAAAGCCATCCAGGACAAAGAGATGAACAGAAAGCAGCTCTACTTATACAGGCGCTATCATGGCAATAAACAGGCTCATGATTAAAAGATGAATTAGGGCAACGAGAACAGGGCGTCTTCACAGAAGGAACACAAGGGAGTTTCAGAAAGTCACCTTAGTACTGACACTATTCGAGATCCGCTAATACTGCTCAGTACTTTAAACGCTCTAACACTCAGGGGCGGAAGGCCCCTCCCGCAGCCGCCATGCTCATGCTTTTCAGCTTATTATCTTTTTTCCACTTCATTCTCCGGTTTTGGAACCAGATTTTAATTTGTCTCTCGGAGAGGCAAAGAGCATGGGCTATTTCAATCCTTCTTCGGCGCGTCAGGTAGCGGTTGAAGTGGAACTCCTTCTCCAGCTCTAGGGTCTGGTAGCGCGTGTAGGCCGTCCTGGCCCTTTTGCCTTCAGGGCCGCCTATGTTGTCTGCAACAGAAAAGTCAGCGCTTTAGCCACCAACTCCACACAGTTCCTGGCTTCCAAAGTCCGCCAACTGGACGAGCCAGGGTCCTGGACCGGGAACCCAGGCGAAAGGCTCAACAAGTCCTCCCTCCCTGCCCGCCCACCCACCCCTCCCGAATTTCCTTCCCTCTTCCTTTCTAGAGAGAAAACAATACGTTTTGGACTCTGGGAACAATCGGCCCATCTGAGGCTGGAACCATGTCCCCGAGGACTTGCCTAGTTTTCCCTCGCTCCTCTCCTGCCCGCTGGCTCAGCCCCAGTTGCCCCGAGCAGGGGGCGCAGCCCTCCAAGGCTGCCAACCGCTCGGAAACCTACCGAAGCACGGCCCTTTGCTGAGTGCCCAAGTGGCCTCCAGGTCACCCTCCCTTAAAGTTACAGCCCCGCCAGCCGCCTCCTGTTCCAGCCTGTACGCTTGGGGCGCCTGCTTTCTTTTTCTTCCCTTTCCTTTTCTCTCTTTCTCACTCCTGCCCCCAAAACTTCAGAATCCCGCCGCCCTCGCCTCGATTATTTCCCCCAAGCCCCTTTTCGGGGACTCTAATTAGTAACGCTGTTTCCCCAGCGTAGCCCTCCTCATAAATTATCCACCCTGACAAGCCCGATTCACGGCCCCTACTGCCATCCTCTACCTCTCTGCGCCCTGCTTAGCTGGCCTGACCCGGGAGCGCGTTCCGAGGCGCTGGGGTTCCAGATGGATTTTTTCCTTTCTCCCCCTTTCAACGTCTAAACTTGCCTGGCCACCGGCCCATTCCCCACTATTTGCGAGCGCAGGGTGCTGCAGAGAAGAGAAGGAAGGAGGAAGGCAGGGGAAGGAGATGGCAGGGAGAGGCTCCGCAGGGCTGGGAGAGGCGAGACTAGGAGAGAGACGGGGAGAGAGGGCTGCAAAGGACAGAGGACGCATGGATTTAGAAAAAGGCTGGCTTTACCATGACTTATGTGCAGCTTGCGCATCCAGGGGTAGATCTGGGGTTGAGCGGGCGGCGCCGGGCTCGGCTCGCTCTGCGCGCTCGCCTGCTCGCTGCTGGCAGGGGCGTCCTCCTCGGCTCCGGACGCCGTGCCAACCCCCTCTCTGCTGCTGATGTGGGTGCTGCCGGCGTTGGCCGAGGCGCCGCTGGAGTTGCCCAGGGAGTTTTTCCCGCTGTGGTGGCTGTCGCTGCCGGGCGAGGGGGCCACGGCGGAGCAGGGCAGCGGATCGGGCGGAGGCGAGTGCGTGGACGTGGCCGGCTGGCTGTACCTGGGCTCGGCGGGCGCTGAGCTGGCGCCGGCCGCGTAGCTGCGGGCGCGCTCCCCGGAGCCAAAGTGGCCGGAGCCCGAGCGGCCGACGCTGAGATCCATGCCATTGTAACCGTAGCCGTACCTGCCGGAGTGCATGCTCGCCGAGTCCCTGAATTGCTCGCTCACGGAACTATGATCTCCATAATTATGCAACTGGTAGTCCGGGCCATTTGGATAGCGACCGCAAAATGAGTTTACAAAATAAGAGCTCATTTGTTTTTTGATATGTGTGCTTGATTTGTGGCTCGCGGTCGTTTGTGCGTCTATAGCACCCTTGCACAATTTATGATGAATTATGGAAATGACTGGGACATGTACTTGGTTCCCTCCTACGTAGGCACCCAAATATGGGGTACGACTTCGAATCACGTGCTTTTGTTGTCCAGTCGTAAATCCTGCCTGATGACCTCTAGAGGTAAACTCGTGCACTAATGGGGGAGTTGGGTGGAGGCGAGAGGGGTGGCGCGCGCGTCCTGGGCGCGTGCCCGCCACCCGCCGCCGCAGTTCAGTCGGACTCGAGCGCCACCCGCTGGAGGCAGAGAGCATTGCTCCGCTTCCGACCCGGGGCTGCAAGGGCCGGGGTCGAATTGAGGTTACAGCCCATTATGGCAAAATTATTGCATTTCCCTCGCAGTTCCATTAGGATGTACCAATTGTGAGGCCGTCAGCTGCCGATCGCACGCCCGGCGAGGATGCAGAGGATTAGGGGGAGGTGGTGACTTGGAATTTATTTACAACTTTTATTTCCCTGTTTTGCAGCCCCTCTTATTTTTGTGTCGAGGTTGGGGTGGGTTGTGCCCGTTCTGCCAGCAGCTCTGGATTTTGAAAATACAGATATCACCTTCGGGGGAGGGGAGGAGGCCATTTAGCCAAATGGAGAAATAAATCCTGCCCACAGCAGCAGCTACAATTAAGGCTCTGTTTTTGCGAGCGCATGAGGGACAGTGTCCCTGCCGCTCTTAAATGACAGGCGTCTATTAAGGATAGCTTTTGTGTAGTGTTTCTCCAAGGCGAGGTCAAATCCCAAACACTTTTATAACCAGAGTCGATTTTTCTCTCTTGTAAATACGGTTTTCGTGTCATTAGTTTGCTATTTGATTTGCTTACGTACCCAGCCTGGAGAATCTTCACCACCGGCCCCCGTTCTTCCAGCCAGCCGGGCCCCAAGTCAGAGAGTGGGCCCAGGCTCCCCGCTGCCACAGAGACAGCGTTTGGGGGCTGGGGATCCGTGGGCCGAGTTATTGGGGTCTTCCTTAGACCTCCAGGAGTAAATTGAGGGAGCAACTGGAATCATTTTGTGGCAGTGCCTAATATCTCCGCAGTTTTCCTGGGCTTCAAAAGACGAAAGGAAATCACAAATACAGTTGAGAGGCAAGGGGAATCTTTCCACTAGAGGCCTGGCGTCGCAGGCGCCCCTGGCACGCTTGGAAGCCAGGACTGTCGCGGCTCCTAGGGCTGGGCCCCCTCATTGGGTCCTGAAAGCTGCTAGGTGGCGGCGCCGGCGCTGTCGGAGGCAGGGAGCCCGGAATCGGGAGCCCAGTTGCTCCCGGGACTGTAGTGTTTCACCCGCGCCCAGGATGCCTCGCCTCGGCTGAGGCTGCTGCTTTCCCACGGACGGTTACGCGCGGGCCTGGCTGAGCGACTTGGCTCTGTCGGGACCCCCTTTGTTCTTCCAGCTTCTTCTTGTTTGGGGGCGGCCTCTCTCTTCCTGAGAGGCCATAACAGGGCTAGGGCCCTACCCCTCAGGCCCTCTCTTTCCCATAGCCAGAGATGATTTGGTGATGCCCTTCAGGACTCAGTGGCAAGGGACCGAAGCGGAGACGCCCAGAAACCAAACGGGGCACGGCCTCGGTTTCTTTCTTCCCCAGCAAACCCCACGCCCCGAGCTCGGGAGCGCAGAGGCGCTAACACAGAAGCCGGGAGGAATTCGGGGCGCACTCCAAGGACTCCAGAGCCAGCTTGGGCAGCCTTAAGGAGAGGGCCTGTATGTGCACAGTGCATCTGTTCCACCGCTGAGATTGGGTGTGTGGGGTTTTGTTTGTTTGTTGTAATAAGTAAATGCTCAGGTGCTTGCAAAGATCCGGGCTCCCCTGAAGCAGCAGAAGCCCCTGGACGGGAGCAGGCGCGGAGAAAAGTTGGGGAGCAGGCAAGGGCAAGGGAGCAAGGCCAAAGGAGGTTGCAACGCTGGCCTGGTCCCTGCCCAGGCGTCTACTCGCCCGCCTTTGCCTCAGAGTCCTCCCCGCTGGGCTGCGTGGAGTTGATGAGTTTATTTTCCTTTTTCCACTTCATGCGGCGGTTCTGGAACCAGATCTTGATCTGGCGCTCGGTGAGGCAGAGCGCATTGGCGATCTCGATGCGGCGGCGCCGCGTCAGGTAGCGGTTGAAGTGGAACTCCTTCTCCAGCTCCAGCGTCTGGTAGCGAGTGTAGGTCTGGCGGCCTCGGCGCCCGTGGCTCCCGTACACAGCACCTGCAAGCAGAAATGGCCGGGTGCGGGTAAGGGAGGCAGAACAAGTCAGTCCCGTGCCTTCCGCCAGGGGCCTCTAGGCGGGAAGCCACCCTGCCTCTACTCTAGCTTCTCCCACTACATATGGGGCTGAAAGCGAGCTGGAGGGGGAAGATATTTCATATCAAGGGAGATGTTTTCCACCTAAAACGACTTGGGATGGGAAGTTAGTGTTTTGAAATATCGGACTTGTAAGAAAAGCATTACAATAGCAAAGCAATAGAACGGGCATTCTTAATTTGGGACCCTAAACTCATATTTTGAGGGGTACAGCATGCATTTGTCTGGGGGTAGGTGGAGTGGAACCCTGGGAGCAGTGTAGAAACTCTGAATTCACGCATTGCTCTCTGTAAGGATGTTACTGGGGCCACCCATGTCAGGACTCAACACATTTTTTGAAAAGTTAAATATGGCCAGTCCTCTCAAATCTTTGCCAGTTTCCCAAACTGGCCCATCTGAAAAACACAGCTCCACTGGGGAATGTTAATTTTTAAAGCAAAACACTAAAATTTTGAAATCCGCATAGGCTCTGCCTTGCTCCAAGGGGAAGGGGGGATTCCCTGTGGAGTCTTTGGCAACTAAGGGCGAAAAGAGGGAGCTATAGGCAGTGTGGGGTTTCTGGGAATGTAAGACTGGGTTAGGCTCTGTGTTTGGGTGCCAAAGAAGCCCCAGGGTGGGAGGACACCCCCAAGCCAGGTGTGAGGTTCAGGTTGGGGCTCAAAAGGAGACAGAAGTTGGCTAAGAGAGAACAGTGGAGTGGAAGGGGGAGGAGGGGAGGGAGGAGATTGAGCAAGAGAAAATTCTGAGGCTGGGATGTGACCCTCTAAGGTTTTGGGGAGACACTGGGAGAGGTCAAAGGGGGGACCTCTGATTGTCTGCGTTTCTGAAGGCAGAACGGAGAGGTGCTTGAGAGGTGAAGGAAGTCATCAGTGGTGCGTGCAGGAGGCCCTCTTCCTTTGGGAGCCTGAGTAGAGTGTTACAAGGGTGCAGCCTGGGCAGCTCTCCCTCCCCACCAGCTTGTCTCTCTCTTTAGGTTGTCCCTATCACGGGTCTCACTCACTTAGCCTGGCAGTGACTCCCCACTCTCCCCTAAAGTGTCACCTTACATGAACCTTATTGCCCTGCCTTCTTTTGCTTGCTTTGACCTGATTGCCCCATTGGGAATGGGTTTTCTTCCTCTTCTTCTTCTTTTTCTTTTTTTTTTTTTTAAATCTCTTTAAAAAGTCAAGGAAACTTTGTTTATTCTTTCCTTCTTTCCTTCTCTCTATTCCTCTTCCTACTTTCTCTCTCTCCTCCTCCTTTGCTTTCTTCCCTGCCTCCTGTCCCCTCTCCCTCCACTGTCTTGGGTGGGGGTGGGGGTGCAGGGAGATGCCTTACCGGCGCAGGAGTTCATCCGCTGCATCCAGGGGTAAACGGGACTCGTGTACTTCCGGTCGGTGCCTTCGTCATGGAGGGTTTTGCCCTGCACGCTGCTGCTGTCGGGTTTGTACTGCTGCTCGGGAGAAAAGTGCAGGTAGTCCCCGGGGCCCCTCTGCTTGCCACTGCCCGAGGGCGAGGCGCCACTGAGGTCCTTATCAGAATAGAAACAGGAGGCCCCGTACTCGTAGGATGCCCGGTTGCAGGCCAGGACCGAGTTGGACTGTTGGTAGAAACAAGGTGAGGTGTACGTCTTGTCCGGGAGGCTCGACGCCCCATACGAGGCCGGGAAGGGCCTCAATGCGTCATAGCCAGCCGGGTAGAGGGGCAGCTGGCCCAAGAAGGAGTCCTGGCCGCTGGGCAGGCTCCCGGGGAAAGTGGGATTCACAAAATAGGAACTCATTTGCGCGCCCCTCTGCAGGACTGTGATTTGTTGTGTATTAGTACATCTGGCTATAACTATTAGTAGTCATCGAACTGGTTTGTTTCTGGATGGCCGAACGCCAAAAGCGACAGCAGCAAATCGCACCAGCTGACGCGGCGGCGGCCAATGGGAGCGAGCGCCGGAGCCCGCTCCCCGGGGACCGCGGCGACCGAGGCAGCAAAGTTACAAACAGCCCCCAGCCCGCCCGCCCGCCGCCCGCCCGGCAGATTAATGGGCGCGCACAGCCAGCCGGCCCGGCTCTTTTCCCGAACGCCAGCGACGGGCATGGCCCGGGAAGGGACAAGCGATCAGACCCGGGTAGAGGCACTATCGCCAGGGCCTCTGCAAAGGCCCTTCCAGGCCTACTCTTTCCTCCTCCCCTTTTTGCCTTGTGGGATTTTGCTGTTTTTTCCTCCAAACAGGAAACCTGACAACCTCGCTCCAAGAGGGGCGGTGACAGGGATGGCTTCGCTCCTCCCGGCCTGCACTCCAGGCATGGCCCCGAGTTGCCCCTCCCCTTGCGCTCCCCTACTTGAGGATGTAGGTTCTTGAGCTGGAGAAGGGGCTCTGAGAAGCCAGGCCTTCACTCTCTGCTCCTCACTCCTGCGCCTGAAAGATGGGTGCACCCCTTGTTCTCTCCTTCCCACTCCTACCAGAAGTCTGAGCCTTGCAGCCAAGAGCTAAAGGGTTACCTCAAGCTGACCAGAACAAGGCCAAACAGGCTCTTCCTGGCACCCCTTTCTCCCAAACACCACACTTCTTGTTTGAGTAGTGGTGGGCTCCTCTGCAATTTCGGCGCGCCTGCTTGGGCTCAAAGCGAGCAACCCCACCAGCTGCGCACCGCATGCTGTCTTTGAACCCAAGGATTGGAGAGGCCAGAACCCACTGGTTTTAACAAGAAGGGACCTACAGGGAGCGGCTGTGAGACTGGGCGAGGAAGCCATCCATGGGACCTGCTCCCCTCGCCCAGCGCCCTGGGACTCCCCCTCCGCTGCAGGAACCGCTCAGAGCCCAGACAGAAAAAAATCCAGACGAGGATTCTCCATTCTCATTCCAGAGGCGCAGGAGATGCAGGGCCCTGGCTGAACAAGGCTCAGAGAGCAGCTCGCTGGGGCCCAAGGCTGAGGGATATTAATGGGGTTGGTTTCCGGGGAGCCCCCATGGACCTGCACTGTCGTAGGGCGCGCCCTCTTTCCTGCCAGTCCTGAGACTACTTCAGGGGCTGCCACCGCAGTAGCTCCAGAACCGGGAATAGTTATCTCACCGGCTCCAGAAATCCTGAGTTGTTTTAACCGCCATCCCAGGCCTGGCAGCCCCTAAATAGGACATGAAATGCTGTCTTGGGTCGCTCTCTTTAGCTTGAGAGGTGTGCCTTCGAGACAGTTGACTTTTACAGCACACGGATCAATCTCGTTTTGCAAAATGTGATACCGGTCCAATGGCATTTTTATGACTGTTTGTTGGGCTTGTAAAACCCTTGAATTAGCTTTAAAATCCTCAATTCTGTGGAGGTTGAAGAAAGACTATTTACATGATTTTGTTGGCTTTCAGGAGGCTGCTTGTAGGATCTGTAAAATACTGGCCAGACAGGGTTTAGGGACTTGAGGGAAGATAGCGATTGGCAATGGTCCTTTAGGAATCTGCTCTTCCATTTTTTTTCTGACCTCCCTTCCCCCAAAGGGAAAAAAATTGGAAAAGCACCATGCCTAGGGTTGGCCTCCCCAGAACCCATGAAGGAGCCCTTGAAGTCTGCCTGGAAACCTTGTGCCTGTACCTTAATCGATCCAACTGGGAAAGTTTTTTCCTTTGCATATAAAGAAGGGTCATTTAGGAGAGGATAAAAATTGGCGTTTCTCAAAAGGATCCAATAGGTGAAAATGAAAACCCAAGAGTCCAAAAATGAAAAGGAAATTTTTTTCTTGAAAAGCTGTGTTTGAAGAAAATCATGTTTGAGCTATTGTTTCTTAAACAAAATTATCAGATGGTAATGATTTCAAGCAAGTTCTTATTTGAAATGGAAATAGCCATTTTGAAGATGTTAATAAATGTTTACATTTATAATTTCTCTTTCATCTCTCCGTAT